TGAAATATAGGCTTCGGGCTTTTATAGGAAATCATGAGAGGGATCAAGTGGATTCAGGCACTTCCACAGCCCCTGGTAATCTCCCATCTCATAATTGGAAGTTCCCAGCAGAGGCTTGCAGACTAGCCAAACAAAACCAGGAAGAGCTTTGGCAACAATCCCAATGGGAACCAGCCTTGCCCTCTCATGTCCAGTGAACTTGGCACCCGAAACCGTAATTCTCATTCACTAGCACTTTTTTCCATCATATTGGGAAGGATAGTGGCAGTAGTTACTGGCAGAGAGTTAGGACACGCAGGTTTGAGTCTCAGCTCTACAGTCCAAAAAAGTAATGACTTTTGAGTCTTTTTCAGGAGAAGGGGGGATGTAGAAAGAAAGAAAAAAAGAAAGAAAGAAAGAAAGAAAGAAAGAAAGAAAGTGACAGTTACCTGTAAATAAATAAGTTACAAGTAACAGAGTTACCTGTAAAGAGAAGAGATTTGCTGTAACACATTATAACATCCTATTAGTCAAGCTGGGCATTTATCCATGTATCTGAACAAGTATTTTTAAAAATGTAAATGACTGCATTAAGTTACCATTTGTAACTAAACACTGCTCCAGTAATATGTTAGGATTAGCATTAATTAAGTCAGCATCAGGAACAATATAAGATGTTGCTGCCTGAAGAGATGGTGGGGAAAGATGCAACAATCTCCACCCCTTCTGTATTGCTGTCAAGCAGATTTTTTTTTAATTGAAGAAACAAAATGGGGAGAAAGCAAGCCATGTACACTGCCTTGAGCTCAGTGGATGGGTAAGAGGTGAAGTGGAATATAAATGTAAATAATAAAATTATGTTGGGCACTGCAGTAGTAAATAGTACTGATCTATTTCTCCAAATTCCAATTTAGTAACCAAGGCATTGACACATATTTCAAACACTGTCATTGATTGACAGTTGATCGTTAAAGGCTAACGCAGAAAGCTTGTGTGTTTACACGAGGGAGTTGGACCAGGACGTGGAAGGTCCAGGTTCAAGTTCCCACAGAGCCATGAAACTTACTGGGCGACCCGAAGTAATTCCTTGTTTCTTAGCCTGAATTTCCTTGCAGAAACAAAATAAATTTAAAAAACAAACACAAAAACAGATGCTTGGTCTATGAGCAAAATCTAAATAAAGCATCAGCTAACATTTACTGTATATTGTTTCACTGAAATATAGAAATGTCAGAAATGCTCTGGCTGAACTTGGCTGAGGGGAGGCAGAAAGAAACAGAACAATCCAGTAAAATGTTGAATCTCTGGGCAAAATTTGCATTAAATTTAATCTCCAGCTTTTCTGATACAGGAATTGCCATATTTCTAGGTACTTCTGCCTTTCAGCTGACACAGGAGCAGTCCTGAATTAGTGATTGAGAGAAGAAATGAATTCTACATCTGGGGCAAAAATTGATATAACCACATCTCAAAACTTTTTCTTCAAGTTGCAATCTCTAAAGAAAATTTAGTTTTGCAAATCCCACCAGGAAGAATTTTTTTTAGGTCTCCATTTCTCACTTTGCATTGTCTGCCCTGGTGATGACAAGTGCTAATATAAGCTGAAAGAAAGGAGGAAGATGAGGCAATGAAATTAGGAGAGAGGGGAAAAGGAAAAGCAAGAAAAAGTCTTTTTTATTTCTTAAGTGAGTGGATAAGAAATATTGTTCTCAAAAATTCATGCAGATGTTTCTTCTTTTTCAAAGCTCAAAGGGGGGGCTGAAGGACATATTCATGGTTGAGATTTTTCATATACATGCCGATAAAGCTTTTGGGGGGAGTAATATAACATAAATTTAAATGCCAATTTAAAACTGACATGTTTTTAAAAAGTCGGTGTTTCATATATATTTTTTTTCCAGCTTATTCGTGATTAACTTAAGTGTGATCATTTCCAACTGACTTTCCAGTCCTTCCTTTTAGCAGTAAACATACATTTCAGAAATAGCCTAATAAGAAAGAGAGAATGTGTGTAAAACGAGTAATATTTTGAGTGAAAGTTTTCAAGCTGTATGCCATTTCCTTATCAATCCTAAAGGGGATTAAGTAAAAAAAAAAGTAACTAATAATGAAATATGCAAGTTAACAAATTCCTTTTACAAAGGTAGGAGTGACAATAATGAAATGCTGGGGCAGCATTGTAATGAATTATGTAACCAATTATGCTTAAAAAGCAATTTTCTAAGCTGTGCTAAGAAGAGATTAATACCTGGACCACAGCCAGCGTGGCAAGTTTGTTGCAATGGGATTTGTGAGATACAAGTGCCGTAAAACTTACTAAGTGGCCTTAAGCCTCATTCCCTCTGCCTGACCTACCTCACAGGGTGAAAATAAAGTAGGCAAGAAGAGTTAAGTTCAGAGCACATATGCTGCTCTGAACCTATTAGGCAACTGGTGGGAAAAAAACATCTCAGATAATTACAGAAACAATAAATTGCTCCCATTAACTCTGCATGAACATTAATCTTGCTGTCCTTTCCATAGTGTCTTTGTATATGTAGAGCAGGAAAGAGAGACTGTATTCTCTCCTCCGTTACCATTTCCTCCTGTTTTCATAAATAAATGGAGCTAGCAAAAGGAGTACAA